TCCCCCCCAGCAGACCAGGGAGATGCGGAGTGGCTTTTCTCAGCAGACACCTCAGCTTGAGAATAAAGGACTGAGGTGTGGGAGAATAAAACTGAGTTCTGGAGAAATGTTTGGCTAGAGTTTCCCCTACAATATGTACCAGTTCCGACTTACATACAAATTCAACTTAAGAACAAACCTACAGTCCCTATCTTGTACGTAACCCGGGGACTGCCTGTAAATTGTGGTTCTAGAAGCAAGCATTCTCTTACACGAAGCATGGTTGTTTTCTTAATGAGCTGGTCTCTAGTCATCTCATCTGCCATATTCCCAGTCAGAAGTTACAATCAGACTCCTCAGAGAAGCAATATACTGCATTAGAGTCTCCCCTGGTTTCTGCTTACGCTGGTGAAATTTGTAGCGATTAGCTACTACATTCACTTTTGGCACAAAAAAGTTCTTTAATGCAGTGAGTGCAGTCTCATATTTATCATCTGCAGGGGGAAAAGTGTAAAATATATGCTACCCTTCTGCTCCAAGGCAGTGGATTAGCAGAGCACACTTTCTTACTTCAGAAATCTCTATAGTACTGATTGCAAACAGATAAGTCTCAAACATACAGATCCAGGCAGTAAAAGCAATTGGAGGCTCACCTGGGCTTTGCAGAAAGGGTGCAGGTGGATTCAGAGGTAGAAGATCCCATCCTCATCGCCAAAATGTTGTATAATGCAAGCAAAGTACTAACAAACTTCAACAGAACTTTATTTACCAAAAGTGAAACCTCTTTACAAAGCTGCTGCACCCCTCTGTAGCTCTCACTCAGCCCTAGCTAATAATCTCCTCCTCCTCCCTTCTTCCTGTTTCCTGTGCTTCCGAACTGGGACCACTGGCTGTTGGGAGTGTGGAAGTTCCACGCTGACATTTTTCCTAGGTCAGGGGTGTCCAAACTTTTTTCAAAGAGGGCCAGATTTGATGAAGTGAACATGCGTGAGGGCCGACCATTTTGCCTGCCATTCTTTGAACCATTAAAATTAAATGCAAATTAACTATTTTATGCAAAGTTTATTGCAAACGGCATACTTTTCATTTCGTCACATGGATGACAAATCTAAACAGGTGTTAAATCACTCTGCCTTTCATATCTGAAGGCCAGATGAAAAAAAAAATCCAAGAAGCTGAAATATATGTCAGGAACATTGTAAAGTACATTACATATTATTGGTAATAAAGGTTGTCTGTCAACTTTTAAGTTCAAAAAATATGAACAGGAACATAACACCAAGTATACATGTTGTGTCCAAATATATTTATAACTGATTTAGACCAACTGACTTTAACTGAGATTTTACAATGTATTCATCTCAATACATATGGATTCATTGGGGGGCCATAAAAGATAGATATTGCCAAATTACCTGGGGGGGGGCCGTATTAAACCAGAACACGGGCCGCAATTGGCCCGCGGGCCGGACTTTGGACATGCCTGTCCTAGGTACTTATTTTCTCATGGAAATTCCATGGGAGGGCTGCTATTTCCTTATTGCCACAGTACGACCCTCTCCCAAACCATTCCTCAAATTGTTTTGCTGGATCCAAAGTAGCACGGAATTTGGTTGTATAAGGAACAAGCAGGGTTGCCAGATGGCTGAAACAAAAATACCAACAACTTTAGTTCCCCCTCCTCCCCCCGCCCAAAAAACCCCCCACCGGGAACAAATTCTGTTGAATAGAAGAAAAGGGGGAGAGGGGGACTAAAGTTGTTGAGCAAAAAAAAACAACTTATTGTCCCCTTTAAGAGTGAGTGCAGGGATAGGAACAGGTTGAGCACTAGGTTTTTTGGCCAGCAGCCATTTTGTGCCGGCAGCCTTGGGGAACCAGGTAAGCATGGGGGCCGGGGAGGAGGCTAGGCACTGAGTATTTGTAGGATTGCCAGGTGCCCAGCTTTTTTGCCTCCTGGCCGGGGAAAAATTCAGAGATTACCAGACATTTCAGGTGTCCAGTATTCTATGATTTTTTTTCCGGACTGTCCGGGTAAATACCAACACCTGGCAACGCTAGGAACCCCGCTTGAATCCAAAAAAAGAGCCAAGGTTTGCTTGTTAACCTTCAGCAGGGATATATTAGCCCAAGTAATGGCAGCCTGTGGACAAGTGTAGGATTATTACAAATTGTATTAATGTACACCTGCTGCACAAGCATGGACTGTATTTTCTTGGGGCTCCATGCCCAAATCTCCTTCCCCCACCTTGAAAACTCACCATAATTAGAGTGTCTGGAGAGACAAGTTTTGTTCAGATATGTACATGTTAGAGAAATGTTACAGTCTTTATCAGGATCAGTACGATCACTGTATTGTTAATGGTTACATTTCCAGATCAGACCTTGAGAAGTCACGCGTGCTCATTCGGGTATCCTTGTGTAGCAGTTCAGGGGCCAGCTCTGCACACAGCTCCAGGAAGTTTGCTTTATGCATTTGAAAGTTCTGTAGACACTGCTTTTTGTTTCCCCCTCTTCCC